ATAAGAACGTTGGAACTCTTCCGAACTCACCATTTTCGCCATGTGTCAAGTTTAAAGCACAACAACATTGAAGACCTTTAATTTAGATTGAAAGAGACTAACGACGTCATAATCTCAGGTCATTCAAATCCATCATTAACAGAAAGCAAACTAATTAATACCAAATATAATCAGCACTGAAAGAGAGATTATCAGAAATAAATGGAAATAGTTAAGTAAAACGGCATGGAAGACAATTCAACGACTCTTCCTGACCTGCACAATTGTCCTGATCTAACCTGAAGACCCAGCGGCATCTTATAAATATACTTGTAAGTTCTAACTCCCTCATCGGTTTCCAATATGGAATGGAAAGCCATTTCCAACGTAGGGAAGAGCATTCAATTCACACCAGTAACTTGAACCAGAATTCTAATGGAGCTGTTAATTCTATGGCAGTTAAAGTTTCAACTGCATTTCTATTCAAGCAATAACGTAAGCATTGCATGCACCAGCTACCAGGAAATAAATGAAGTCAGACTTGTCACCTAATTAGTAATTCCTTCCATTGCTGTTTCTTTTTTTTTTTAATTATTAAAGTCTAATCTATTTATTTGGTTGAAGGAGGTGGCGGAAATGAGATCCATGCAAAACCTAGTCAAGATGGTTGGTGTCACCAACTCGAATGAGATGCCATTTTGGTTGGTTCACAGGCCAAGAACTAAGATATGACCACCTAGGGTGAACCTAGTCAACTAAGGATAAAAATATGGGTTAGTTGATGGATTGGACCAAGCAAGCCATGGTGGGTCTATTGAACCATCTAAATAGTTAGTAATCATAATACCTAAAGTTTATGACCCTAAGGGATAATGAATTAATAACCTAATAGGTCAAACTACGAGTCCACTTAGGGTGAAGTGTTAGGAGGGAAATCACTAGATGACCATGAAGCCATATGGGGCCATCTAATTGTCCAAGAAAGGTAGGCATTTGGGTCATGTGTTGGCTGATAGACCTAAGTGAAACCCTACATAACTTGGAGTGATACGGGTAGTGTCGCAACTCGACCCGATATGACTTGATACTACACAGGTCATACCATATCCAATTGTGACAAGACTAATCCCAAGATCTGGTCGAAGAAGTATTGAAACAAAACTTTCAATTTATATACTACATAGAGCCACTATTGAATGCAATATATTACACTGAATCTCAAAAAGATTTTTTATATATCATCCAAAACATATATAATCTGAAATATATATATGCAACAACACTTGGCAATAGAGACCATAACTAAAATAAAAGCCAAGCCTCCAAAAAATCAAAAGTAACCAAAACAAACCTATAACATAGATTTGAGCCAACTATTCAAACTACTCAGGTTGCTACTTACCCTATGTTTATAAACATAATACTTCTTTTGTCTATCATGTGTAGTTCTCAATCTTTTCCTAATCAGATTGATCTTTATTATAGTGTCATCCACAAAAGCTAACCCTATCACCTATATGTCACCCATCTATGTTGAAGTCAAAGGAGTCATACACTTCCTACCATACAGGGCTGCATAAGGAGTCATGCCTATGCTGGAATGATAACTATTATTATATATAAACTCTATCAATGAGATATGATCCTCCCAACTGCCACCAAAGTCTAGAACATAGAGTCTCAAAAGATCCCCCAATACTTGAATAGTTTTTTTTTTTTATTGTCCATCTATCTCTAGATAAAATGTTGTACTGAAATGCAATTTTATACCTTGTCTTTGTTGAATGCCTCTCCATAATTTGGAGGTAAATTGATATCACGATCGAATACAACCACCTTTAACACACTATGTAATCTGATAATATCTCTAACATATACTTGTGCTAACCTATCAACCGGATCAGTTTGTCGAATTAAAATGAAATGTATTGACTTTCTCAGATGATCAATTATACCCAAATGGTATCATGCTCTTATATAAATCTGGAAAAACCCATAGTAAAGTCCATCATCACCTTTTCCTACTTCCACTTAGGGATAGGTAACGATTGTAAAAGATCGACCTATCATTGATGTTATACTTTTACTAACTGACATGTCGCACACTTTAAAATAAACTCAACTACATCCTTATTCAATCTAGGCCACCAGAATATACATTTCAAATCTTCATCCATCTTGCTGCTTCGTAGATGAATAATATAACTTGAGTAATGTACCTCATATAGGATCACAACTCTCAATCCACCAACAGAAGGAACCCATAATCTATTATTGTAGAAAATGACTCCAAAATTAGATAGTAAAAGTTCAGGTTTCTTTATAATCCTTAATATGCTCAACTTAAGATATTTTGTATCTAACTTATGAGCTTCATGAATTCTTTCTTATAGAGTAGACTGAATAATCATCTGAGCTAAGAAATTCAAATATGTATCAATAGATACCACCTCTATCTCTAATTTCTCTAAATCTCGGATAAGAAAGTCCAAATAAATAAGCAACAAAAGAGAAGTACTTGAAGACTTTCTACTCAAAGCATCTACTACCACATTCACCTTACCAGGCTGATAGTGAATAGATAGATTATAATCCTTTATCAGCTATAACCACTATCTTTGCCTCAAATTTAAATCATTCTGAGTAAAAATGTACTTCAAGCTATGATGGTCAGTACATATCTCACAGCTAACTCTGTACATATAGTGCATTCAAATCTTAATGCAAATATAATAATAGTTAGCTCTAAATTATGTGTCAGGTAGTTCCTCTTGTGTGGTTTCAACTATTGAGATGCATAAGTAATAACTCTATCATGATATATTAGCTCGTATCCCAAATCTCTCAATGCTACATCACTAAAAATACGAAACTCCTCTATTCCTAAAGGAATGGTCAGAATATAAGCAGAAGTTAAATAATCATTCAACAGCTAAAAACTCTCATCACACTCAGGAGTCCATATGAAAGCTACTAATTTCTGAGCCAGTTTCGTCAAAGGCAAAGAAATGCGAGAAAACTCTTGAACAAACTTCTAGTAATAACCACTTGAGGCCCTCACCTCTGCCGGACCACCGGCCACTTGAGGCCCAGACTTCTGCCAGACCACCACATGAGGCCCAGACTTTTGCCGGACCACCGCCTGACGTCGTTTCTTAACGGGACCACCACTTGAGGCCCTCACCTCCGTCGAACTACCACTTGAGGCCCAGACTTCCACGGGACCACTACTTGAGGCTCGGACTTCTGTCGGACCATCGCCTGACGTCGTTGCTCTGCCGGACTAGCACTTGAGGCCCTTACCTCATTTGGACCACCACTTGAGGCCTGAACTTCTGTCGGACCACCACCTGAGGCCCGAACTTCTACCAAACCACCACCTGGCGTCATTGCTCCGTCGTACCACCACTTGAGGCCCAGACTTCTACCAGACCACCACCTGAGACTCGGACTTCCACCGGACCACTACCTGATATCATTGCTCCACCGGACCACCACTTGAGGCCCTCACCTCCACCGGCTCACCACTTGAGGCCCGGACTTCTGCTGGACCACCACCTAATGCTTGGATTTCTGCTGGACCACCACCTGAGGCCATGACTTTTGTTGGGCCATCATCTGATGCCTAGAATTTTACCAGAATACAGCCCTACTACAACGGTCTTTCTGATCCCGATCTCCGGCTAACTACGTTCTTTTGGACCCCTATCTCTTGCCGGATATGGTCCTTCCGACCTCCGTCGCCTACTATAGTCCGTCCGACCTACATCGCCAGACAACGATCTTTCTAACCTAGGTCTCCTGCATACTCTGGTCCTTCCGAACTACACCACTGGACAATGGTCTTTCTGACCCCGGTCTCCCGCCTTTTACGGTCTTTCCGACCTCTATCCTATCAACCATGGTCCTACCGATCAAGCAAACATGTATATGTTGATTATTGTAACTCCTACCATGTAATGCGCTCTATATGATGTATATTTGTGACATCAAGCCAAGGCCTTCTCCCAAGGAAGGGCCTCATTTGTAATCGACTATAGATACTAGTGGATTCATTCAAATTGGGCCAGGTCCCGTGGTTTTTCCCCCTTTTTTCAGTGGTTTCCACATAAAAACTTTTGTGTCTCTTATAACTTTACACCCTCTCTCTTATCCGTTTCTGTGCTGGATCTTTGTACAAAGCCAAGACGCTAAATTTAATATTTCTCTACCTCCACGAATACTCCAGGACGCAACAATAAACTTTATGATATAAAAAATAAAGTATGAGAAATAATATGCTAGGAATATTCTTTTTTTGGTATTAGAAAATAAAGTTCGGTTGAAGACAAGTTAATTATTTTAACCTATTACTATATTTTGAAATAAAAAATGAGTTTTTCAGTTGGAGATGCCCTAAGAGAACTATCCCAAACGAGCCTTTAAGGCTTTGTTTGTTTGAGCGTTTTTTTTCCTTCTCTGTTTTTGCAAACGTAGGTTTTTTTTTGTGTTGTTTGGTTCGTCAAATCACGTTCTCAATAATTCCTTTTTTTTTCATTTTTCTACAGTTTTGAGAAAGCTTTTTATATGTGCTTCTCCGTTAGAAAATTTCATTTTCTGAACTAATATTTTTTAAAATTGTCTTTTACAAAAGCACAAAAAAAATAAATGAAGCATAAGCCGCTCCAACAAGTGCGGATAGCAGCTCCACGCAACGGCAATAGTTACCATAAGTAGCATGGAATGCGCCAATTATCTGTCTCGAACGTTTGTAATACTAAAAAAGTACCATCTACGGGACCCGATTCATCGCTTCGTGCGCCAAACCGCTCATAGCACCGCTTCCCGCGCCCGCGCTCGTCGCATTCTATATGCATTTTAACCCTCGAGGAAGAACGTAACAACGTAGGGCGCATCTACCTCTCTCTAACCAAACGACCTCTTTCCACGTGGACATCCATCCGGCCGTCCGCCAAACCTACTCGCCTTTATTAAAGCGCGCCAATCACCTGCCTCCGACCTTCTCAAGCTTCCATCCATCAACCAGCTGCCTCTCTCCTTTTCAGTGATAATTAAGAAGGAAATCAATGGCGCTGTCCTTGGAGGAGATCAGGCGGTCTCAGCGGGCCGATGGGCCGGCGACGGTCCTTGCCATTGGCACCGCCACACCGCCCAACGTCGTGCACCAGGCTGATTACCCGGACTACTACTTCAGGATTACCAATAGCGAACACCTCACTGAGCTCAAGGAAAAATTCCAAAGAATGTGTAAGCCTTCGTCTTTAATTTTCATTTCTTCTTCTGCTATTCTTTTCTTCCAAAGGCCCGCACAGTTTTAACGTTTTGTTGAATCACATATATAGTTCTCGCTTCTCAGAGATGAGCAAGCCATAGTTTCAATTGCCCATTAGAGAAGCAATAGCTCAAATAAAACAGTTTTTTTTTTTCTTTAACAAAAATGTCTGCTTAAAAAAAAAATTAATGAAAAAACTGTTTTAAAAAGCATTGAAAAAGCTGTCCTAAGTGCAGCCTAAACTATTTGAGATCTTATATAAGATGTATCATTATTCTTAAAAGGTAAAACACATTTGAAAAAAAATGTGAAAAACAAAAGCTTTATTTTTGGAGAAATTATTTTATGTAGAAGCTCTACGTCTAGATGCCACGGTATTGAGCGGTATCGAGCCTCGGTATCAAACAGTACCTAGTCGTAGTACACTAAAAGAATAATGTGGTACATTTTTATTGGTCTCTTAATGACGTACGGTGTCCGCACAAAATAATTTTTTCTACTTATGACGCTTTTAACTCATAATGAATTGGCTAAAGAAAGATAAGTTGGAGGATCTTAATAGCCGAAGCACCTACTCATCCAAAGAAAGCCAACCGGTATTGTAATTAAAAACAAAACAAAAATAATCAAAGGTCTAACAAACAAATTAAACTCATTTCATATAGGTAAGAGCATTGCTATATGATCTATGGTCCAAATAATTTGTATTGTGAAAATTTAAAGGCATCAGATCAATTGGCACATCTTTGAATTTGAAGTACGTGGCAACACTTTTATCACGTAATATAATTTTGAATTTGAATTTAAAAAGCTAATTTTTATGTCGTGCATGTACCTACTTTTAATTTTAGAGTGATTATTTTAATTAAAATTAACTATTTATATATATATATATATATATAGTTTTTTGTTCAATTATTAATTATTTTGACTTAAAATAAATGTCTTATAAGATAGGGGTAATGCCAAGATGTGTGGGCAAATTATTACGTGCAGAGTTCGGACGTCATTCAAAAACTAATAAAAATGCGTCACGTTACCCCAAAAGTGTACCACGCTCGGTACCGCTGAGAGTGATTCCGAGCGGTACCGAGCATTGATACTGCTCGATATTGCACTCGGTACCAAGCAGTACCGGACGGTTCTCCCGTCCGGTGTCCACATAGAATAATCTCCAAGATCTGTGGGATATTTTAAAGAAGATATTAATCACATCTAAGTTTCTAGCATGTACATGATACATTGAGATGATATTAAAATAATCTTTCTATTAAATTTTTTGGGACATTTAGCTAAATTAAAATAAATTTTTAGACACATTATATATGCAAGACTTAAATTCAAAACGTATTGATTGATAGTCAAAGCTCTCAACCAACATATCAAGATAAGTTGTGCATTTCTATTAATTAGATCTTAAACTTTTTCTTAAAATTAGGTTTATTAATTAAAGCATTAGTTTATTAATTTTTTGTTTTTTGTTTTTTGAGAACATTTAGATCAATTAAGACAAATTCATACACACCGCATATATAAGATTCAAATCCAAAAACTTATGTTGATAGTCAAAATTATAAACCAACATATCAAGATGAGCTGGGTTAGTTTAGTAGTTTGAATTACAGCACAAACTTGTCTCAAGCATTTCTAACGGCCAAAATCCACGAACGCAGGCAACAAGTCAATGATCAAAACACGCTACATGCACCTGACAGAGGAAATCCTCAAGGAGAACCCGAACCTCTGCGCCTACATGGCGCCATCGCTTGATGCGCGTCAAGACATGGTTGTCGTCGAGGTGCCGAAACTCGGCAAAGAGGCCGCCAGACGAGCCATCAAAGAATGGGGCCAACCAAAATCCCGCATCACTCACCTAATCTTCTGTACCACGAGCGGCGTCGACATGCCCGGCGCCGATTACCAACTCACTCGCCTACTTGGCCTCCGCCCTTCCGTCAACCGCCTCATGCTCTATCAACAAGGCTGCTTTGCCGGCGGCACGGTTCTTCGTATCGCCAAAGACCTTGCCGAGAACAACGCCGGCTCGCGTGTTCTCGTCGTCTGTTCAGAAATCACCGCCGTTACGTTTCGCGGCCCGTCGGATACTCATCTCGATTCTCTTGTCGGCCAAACACTGTTTGGCGATGGGGCTGCAGCGGTTATTGTTGGAGCTGATCCTGATCCCAATCTGGAGCGTCCCTTGTTCCAACTTATATCAGCTTCGCAAACTATACTCCCGGAATCTGAGGGAGCGATTGACGGCCATCTACGCGAGGCGGGTCTCACCTTCCATCTCCTCAAAGACGTTCCCGGGCTTATTTCGAAGAATATTGAGAAAAGCTTGGTGGAGGCTTTCAAACCGCTAGGGATTCACGACTGGAATTCGATTTTTTGGATTGCGCATCCGGGCGGGCCAGCGATTCTCGACCAGGTTGAAGAAAAGCTTGGGCTAGACGGAGATAAGCTCGCGGCCTCAAGGCGTGTGCTTTCTGACTATGGAAACATGTCCAGCGCTTGCGTTCTGTTTATCCTTGATGAGATGCGACGGCGATCTTCGGAGGACGGGTTGGCAACGACCGGCGAGGGGTTGGAGTGGGGGGTTCTTTTCGGGTTCGGCCCGGGGCTTACGGTGGAGACCGTTGTGCTCCACAGTGTGCCCAATTAGTTGTGACCGTTACGTTCTACTTAATTGTTCTTCTTCAGCTCGCCGGCCTTATTGATAGATCGTCTGTATAGCTCTTAAGCTCGTTACCTGAATAAGTGAATGTATTTGGTGTCAGATTTAATAGTTAAACTGTTATGGTAAGAGAGCGAGTGGGGCAGTTGCGTATAAAGAAAAAAAAATGTTTAGAAGTCGTATAAACTGGCGGAGAACGTCGTAAGGAGGATTATGTGATCGTAGTATCTTATCAATTTATATCGTTTGGATGTGTAATCTCTGCGAAATGTATTGGATTGAAGTATATCCATTAAGAAAATATAAGGTTGATTAATTTCCTGTTGTAATGCTCTGACTATGAAGTTATAAATATGAAAACGGTTATGTTTGGAATCTAATTATGTTGAACAATCTAATTATGTTGAACAATCTAATTATTCTATTGTCTCGAACATCAAAGCTTGTCGTGTAAGCTAGGGGGTGCGGGGGGTTTACACCCTGTTTGGATTCGGGTGTCCTAGCGTTGAATAAGAGAGCAAAGCACCACAACCGTCGAGATATGGCATCGCAACAAGTCAAGAACGAGACTGAGCGTCGTAGTCCTGCGTGTTTGAGCATTGCAGCATTGTCAAATAGAGAGTGAGCACTGCAGCGCCCCAAACTGGTTGCATCTCTTGAGGGTTATAACTTACTTTCTCTTGACATTGAGAAAAGTGTATGTGATAAGAGAAGCAAGGAGAGAGTTAGAGAGAAGATAAATCTTTACTTGTTTCACCCCATTTTTATAGTGGATTTATTGTGTGGTGTGGCTTGTAGTTTTTTTTTTTCCTATTTTGATTTTTTTCATGTTAAAGTGTCTTTTATTTTCTGCCGCTTTTACTTTCTTGTTGATTTTTTCATTGTGATATTTTCTGCTGCTTTTACTTTCCGGCTGCTTTTACCTTACTTCATACAAGTTCTGGAAGGTTGTAAAGCCATAAACCATTAAGTGTCCGAAAGCTCGATCTATACATAACCCTGTAATGGTTTATGTGATCTGGAGGATTTCTCGATGGCGCAATTGACTTATGCTGGGACTGTGGTTATGATCAGAATATTAGTTGCATTCAAACTTCAGAGGTGTTCATTGCTTTATTAAAATTTTTGCCTATGTTTTTGCTGTGGTTGTCAGCTCTGTGGAATTTTGCAGAGTTATTTTTTCTTAAGTCCCAGCAGCGGAAAAATTATTCTGTGCGGAATCCAAATCACAATAAAAATGTGCCACGTTTGGTACCGAGCTTAGTACCGAGCGGTACCGCGGCACAGTACCGCTCGGTACCTAAGCGTAAACCGGACGGTTCTCCCGTCTGGTGTCCGATGTCCGCACAGAATAATCTCTCCAGCCACTGGGATGTTTGGCCCTATCTGAATTTCCTGCCATTAGTTTTGCTTGCTCGATGTTTTTGGGCCTTCCCATAATGTTTTCTGGGTTTTTTTTGCGCTGAGCTGGGTAAGCTTAATCTTTCTAAATGATAAAAAAAAATTTATTAATCTCAAGATAAATTTATGACTACGAATGCAATTCAAATATGAATTGCTGTTTCCTTTCAAATTTATTTCTTGTAATTGACACTGAGACAAATTCTTTAGATAGCTTTTGCAGTGTTAAAATTTTCTGATTACTGATACTAACATCCCTATTAAGGTAATTTTTAAAATGGCTGAGGAGAACCCAACTGTTACCCTTCACATAACAAGTTATGGTTTCATTACTCGGGGACCATGGCATTCAATTGCATAACAGATCAAAACAGAATTCATTATTTAAAATCATTTTATGAACTCAAGAAGATTGTGATTCTTTCTCAGCAACTACTTTATCAATGAGGGGATTCCTCATCAAGAAGAATGTGATTCCAATAAAAGAGCAGATTTCTGATTCTGGTATTACTGGTATGATCCACGAAATTCCTATGAGAGATATTGCTGTTAATTCTTCTCCTAAAGATGATACTTTAATCAAAACTGAGTTGTTAATGGATAATCTGAAGAATTTTTCCTTGCAATTGGATTCTGGTTTGAAAAAATTTTCTTATTCTTCTGTAATTCTGATTGATGATGATAAGTTTTATGCTTTAAATGTTATCATTGATGAAGAAGTGATTGATGATGCATCTGGTAAAAAATGTTCTGAAGAGGAAGCTATAGTTGATGCTAATATTGGGTTTATGGAACCTAAAGCTTCTTGTGTTGAAGGGTATATATGAAAGAAATTTGGGGGGAGTGAAAAGTAGACTTAATAATGAACTTAAGTCTTTAGACCCTATTAAAATTCTTCCTAGAAAAAGTAAGGTTGATGTGTTGATTAAAGGATGGAGTGAGAGGCCCTCCCCTTTATTATAATTATGCCTTATATTTCCTTTTAGAATTGTAGAGGAGCTAGGAAAAGAGAGGCTTATCTATACTTGAAAGAGTTTGTGATTGAATTTGATATGTTCTTGATGTAGTGGATCGTCGGAAGAATCGACCTGCAAGAAGGATTTCGATTCCAATCCAGGGAAGAAGGCAAACACAAAGCTTCAAAGCTTTAAAAGAGAGTAATATTCATTCAATGAGCCATCCTCCTTCAAAACATCCCTATATAAACTAGCTATAGAAGATTCTAGAAAAGCTCATAACAAACTAGATAAGATACCCTAAGGAATACTCCAAGCTTAAAATGCTCCGCATCATTCTCCCCTTGCGTCAAAAGAGCTCGATTTCGTCGAGGCTCGTCATCGGGAGGGAGGTATAGGTGGACATCCTAACCAGATCCCTGGGTCAAAGAATTTGAATGCAGACTTCAAAATTAGCACATGAAAAGGCTTTCCCCAATCAGATGCAATCTCCATGTCATCTTCTAAAATGACTACTTGATTATGAATCAAAAATAATTCATCCAAGGCCCATTTGTAGTGTCTAGCAATTTTATAGTATGCAATTAAATCTCCAGGTCCCTCGATATGCAGCTCAAAATCATGCTGCAGGTATGTTATCTGACTATAACTTAAAGCTGCCCTTTTAACATCTGGTTCGTTCCATCCTGAGAAACAAAAAGGGAAAATTTTGATGCAACTGTACTCTGATACTTCAGCACAGATAAAACCGTCCTCTTCAGATAATCTGGTCAATTGCAAGCCATTATCACAACACGGCTCACCTTTTTCGAATATTGTTTGAAGGCTATTTTTTTCAAGATCTCGGACAAGAGTCTTCAGTTGGGCAGACTCCTCCTCATAACGTCTATTCAAATATTATAATTTGACAGTTTTCTCTTGTTGCATGCTTATCTGGTCAATCAACAACCGGGCATGTTTCGACCACTCGGTTTCTGCTCCAATCTTAGCTGAAATTTTATCAAGTTTCTGCACAATCTCCTCCAGCCTCTTCAAGTTGGGTTTAGATCCTTTAGTGACAATTCGACGAACAGCTTGAGAGTGTTGTACTGGCTCAGCTTTGTCAGAGGAGTTTACAATGAGCATGTGCACACCTGCAATGGAAACGTCCTCAATACCAATATTGTAGTTGTCATTTAACTCAGTCTCCCAATTTCCATGATCCATCAAATGCCGTTCAATTCGTTTGGGGCATTAGTCAGACCATAGCCAAGCTTCTTTATGCAGATAAATTTTAGTGCAGAGTTCATTGATATATTAAGTGAAGCAGATTGCTCATTGAAACAAATCGACTCACTACTGGCTAACCGCCCGAATGCTTTGTAGAAGTCAATTTTAGATTGCCAAAGATCCCAAAGTCTGGAAGATAAAACTGATTGTCCAGTTGCGCCCTGTGTGAAGAAATCTCCGAAAGCAGCTTTCCTGTACTGAACAGAGCTAACAAAAATGGTTGAGTTGCACAAAACAGGAACCATTCCAATGTTTGGTTCAATGGTAAAGAGATCTGTTGAACATGGATTACATTTCATTTCCTTAAAAATGTTCTTCACCTGCCATGGCCTTCCAACTCTACCCGTGGCTTCCAACAACTTGTTGTAAATGATCGAATTCTGCTTCACACCAAATGCTTTCATCTCCTCAAACATAGTGAATGCACTGTTGAAATTACCGGCAGCTTTAGGAGGAGTTGAAGGCAGTCTTTGTTGAAGCGGCAAAAGGTTTACGAGTAGTATTGACTGTAGTAAAGAATTTTCAGTGATCCTGATGAGGAAAGAGATCTTACTTGTTGCTGGATTTGTGTCTGAACAATTACTGTAGCAAAAATAGCTTGATGAGACAAAAAATTGTCCTGTGATGTCATGTGACTCCAATAGTGCAGTCGGTGCTAAGAAACACGGCAGAGTAACTGCTGGAACCCATGGAGCATCGATTGGCACAGTATAATTTGGCGGTGGGCAAGATTTTTTCATAGGCGATGCCATGGCCCCCTCCAGTAACTGAAAGAACAAAAAACAATCTCCGGTGAAAGTGGTAGGTACAACGATGATATGTAGCGCGGTTGAGGATTTTCTCCCGACTAGGGTTTCAGTCTCTTGTGCTGGGAGAAGAGACGAATCATCGACCTCTCGATCGGACTTCTGTTGTGATCCTTCCCATTTCATCAGAGCCGCATGTTGTTTGTGGGATAAAGAACTAGAATCGATTCTTGAGAGATCGAGCTCAACACCTAGAGCAAAATCGCGAGAGCAGAGTGGGGGCTCCGTCTGAGTGGGCGGCAATGGAGGAGTGGTAGCGGCGGGATTGAGAGGAGCTAGAAGCGGTCCAGTGAGCTGAGCAGAGGCAGAATCGATAACAACAGTGGCAGTTGCTTCTTTGGCTTCCAGATCCCGATCGTCATGTCCATCTTTCTCAGTCGAAATAGCCAAATTATCTTTGATTCTGTTGTGTGAATCAAAGGCCTGCTGGACGGAGTCAAAATCAACGACGGAAGAGATTTGTTGAAACAACTTCAGATCATTGCTATGGTTGTGATCAGTGATCTGTTGCATCTCGCGTCTAGCAGGTCTGGTCTGGTCGCGATCAACTTCCATCTTGTGTAGACGGGAGGAGTTGGGAGACAGAGGATGTTGGAACGGAGGGGGGTCACGCCACCGAAGCAGGAGTTCGAGAGGAGGGTAGTCATTAACGATGGTGGGAAAATGGTAGGACTGATGGCGTTCACGTGAAGAGGATAAGAGGAGCGAATTAAAGAAGAAGAAGAATACCTTGGTATGGTTGCCGACGACATTCGCATCTTCCTTATTGCCCGAAGGTTTCTGTCAA